CCAATGAATTATCCTGTTCATGGTTTAACTCTTAATAATGGATTGTCTTTATTGGCGACAAGCATTTTTGTGTTCAGCCAACGCGACATTATCCTTCTGTGTTTGAGTTTGTAATATGTCTAGTGTATAATACATATTTTCCAAATGAAATCGATATTATTCGTAATCCAGCAGACAAACCGTTTGGAACAATGCTCAACGTTCGATGAAGTTTTTTTACGTCTTTTTTCATCATCGATTTCTTTTTACATTGCTCTCAAAATAAGAGAATGTTGAATTTTTGGGATTATTATGAACCATGTGTGTCTCATGACCGTAGCCCATAAAATTGACGTTGGAACGTGACAACTACAGAAACCACATCTCATTTAAAGCGTCATTGGTGATGGTCAAGACACTGAAAATTTGACAGTTGTGAAACGATGATTTTTTCTTCATTTTATTCACACGAGAACAACAACAAATGTGCATACATACACGGCTGGTTCGGTGCGATGCTGAATCAAATGGAAAACTTTCAGTTCTTTTAACAATCATTTTTATAGTAATGTTGTCTGACATTTCAGAGACTCGATAATGGTTTAGATTCATTGTCGGCTGTATTATATTTTGAACTCTTCTTTTCAAATATCGTTTTTTTTTATTTCGCTTCCAAGTTCTTCATAAAACCGAGTCTAACGACTATGAATAATGGCAGAAACGAAAACGAATGACAAGAATAATGCACTGACTAATGCTGAAGAAAAGTTTTGTATGAAGTCGCCTTCAGCATTTCTACGACGTGAACATTTTGAGATTCAGAATTTCTCTCATACATATGGTTGCCATAACCCGTTTGAAAAAAAAATACATGTCATTTATTTCCATTAGGAACATGGAATACCACGAATGCACACGAGTGCCGCTGACAAAAAGACACATTGAAAACTATACATCAGACAATATATATGGATTTTGTCATCTGGATATTTCAGTTCATCTGGATAACGTTATAGACGATGATACGAAATGAAAACAATAGAAGTGATTGTTATAGTTATGGTAGTATTTTTATACCTATACAATACAACAATCACTTCTATTGTTTTCACTCCATATCATCGCCTAACGTTATTCAGATGAGCTGAAATATCCAGATGACAAAATCCAAATATATTGTCTGCTATACATATAAGCGATTTGTGTGCGGCAACATTGAAAAACAAAAATCGTAAGCTTTAAGTTCCAATGAGTGGTCTTAATTGCATTTAACAAATTGTTAATGAATAAAATAAAATGTATGTGCATCGTCGATAACATTTTATATGGAACCTTCACAGCACTTTTCATTCAACCAGGTTGTTCCAAACCACTAAAAATGTTGTCAATTTTTTTTTCATCAGTGGCAAATATTCATTCCATCATTTTTCATCGACACGGTTTTATGGTACTGAAAACATTTTTTTCACTGCAGAACAGGTTTTCATGCCAAATTCGGTTTATTTTCCACTGGCACATTTGGAGGGAAGCCTGTGAATAGGACTTGATATATATATAATTTAACTGAACACACATGATGGATAAATCGAATCAAATGAACGAAACTAAACCTAAACTTATGATTCATTCATTTTGTCATACCAAATTCACTTCAACACGTTCACACAGACTTGATTTATGAGTTCCTGCACACGTGTTCGCATCGATAAAAATGGATTAGTTAAAAAACGTATATATATATTAAGAAAAGCTTATCGAAGATAGAAGTAACATATTTTCCCAAACAAATGGTTCGATAGAATTTGATTCTTGAATGCTTTTGAATCTCTACCGTCTCTCGTACACTATACCAAACGATAAACGACAAATGGCTTATCATAAACTCAATTTTCAACATAAAATTGAAATGACATGTAATTTAGTCAACTAGGTTTTATTGGATTTGGAAACGCACGAAAGATTCGCATAGTTTCGATTCCATTTCAATGAAAATTGGCATTTTCCTACGTTTAGGCAAAAATTACACGTTCGATACAAGTTAATTTCAAAAAGGAAATCAATGTGGCGTTCCATTTACCATGTTCTCGTTTAAAATGGAAATTTGCTAACTCAAAACCAATCACATGAAATTGGCAATTGCTTTATGTACGCTTTGAAGAAAGCTCAATATACAAAATAAAAACATTCAGTGATCGATTCTTTCTGTTTTGGGCGAAAGGATCAAAATCATCTACAAACATCCAATGGTTGAAACAATAATATCAGCCAATATAGAAGGTTTGTATAATATGAATCTCTGATATAAAAGAGGTTAGTCCTTTTGAATATATTATTGTCTTCATGTCGATCTTGAATCGAAATTTTTATCATTCGAACCCCACGTGTGACCAAAATTGAATAAATTGTATGGTTGCTTTGAATATTTTATGCGTCAAGTTCAAGATAGAAAAGATTTATTTTGCAATTCAATTCAATTAGCTAACTTGCTTGTACCGACATTTCGTACATTCTTCAATTAAATTTGTCGGTTTGGATAGTTTTGTAATTGAGTTTCGGTAAGTAAAAACTAAAACAATCAATATTTTACATCTTAGAGAATCGGGATAAAAATTTGATTCAAAATCAAATGTTAATTTAAGGTTGTTTCGGATGGCATATTGCGTTCGGGCACAAAAATTGATGGACGATGTTACATCGTCGATGCATAAAATTTTTTAATCGACAAAAGTGGTCCTGAGCGGATGGCATTGAAAACCGCTCCCCTGTGAGAATGTGCGTGTATATATGTGTGTGTAACTAAAGTGCATACGAAAGCTAAATGAGCGCAGATGTAATACAAGTCAAGGTAACGAAAGGGAAAAGACTGATGATAGCACAAATTGATTTTTTTTCTCTCATCATTTCAACTGTTGTGTGTGACGCACTTTTAATTCAATATTTTACACTGGGCAGTTCACATAAATAGCATTGGGCGCGATACCAACCACTCAATACCACTTCAAGCTATTATTGTCATACAAAGCCGTTGGTGGTTGAATTTTTTATCAACGAGATCGCATTTCTTTCAAATACGAAAAAAAAACGAAATAAAAATAGACAGACATTGAATTGACATCCTCACATTTGCTTTGAAATGCAAATAATTATTTTTCATATTAAGATGAAGGCGTCTATGTAGTGGACGCTGTTGAACTTATTTTTGTAATTTGCTTCGTAATTCGGCTACATCCATCTTATATGAGCCCGTGTGGTGTTCACGTGCTTTTGGAATGGCATGTTAGCTTACTCGCATGCCATTGGAGAAGAGGTGTACACTTTTCAATATCAATGAATTAGAAATGTGCACTCTCACACCATTTCGAAAAAATTATAAATAATTTTAATGTTCTCATAGAACAAGAGGAGAAACACGTGCTCTAATATTGTCACTTTTTCCTAGTTTTTTTAGTTTTCTAGTTTGTATCTACCACCCTAGACGTTGTAATAGTATAGTGCAAATGCTATTGGAATACGAAATATATGGAATGAAAAGGTATAAAATTTTATAACAAAAAAAACTTTGTGCACATACCCACTTTGTATACTCATGTCAAGGATTTTAAAATTAATAATAAAATAATGAATACACACTATTGATATACGAAACAAAATGTATGGCATTGAAAATGCATCATATCGGAAATGTGCAGACTCTCTTAGATTTTAATTTTGAAGATGGTATCGAACTCATGTATCAGTCATTTTAAGCATCACTTTTATATTTCTATTAACGTTTTTTCATAAATTTATTTCATTTTTAGTCGATTTTTAGTATTTTATACATGTTATACATAGAAACATTTTTCATTACAAAAAAACGACGTTTTGCCCAAGGCAATGCCTTTTGGCAAGGATATTCATGTTAAATAGATACGAGCTATTTTTCGGAAATCTAGAAACTTAGATGATATGAATCGATTTTTTTTTATTGGAAGAGAACTATATTTTATTGTAAATGGGAAAATGCAGCAATAAATATTTTACTGATGTATTTTGTCTTTAAGAAAAACTTTATCTCAGTAGAGTTTGAATGTACGTTACATCTTATATTCAAACACCTCTAAGCGAAATAAAATCAGGCATAATGGACTTAAGATTGATGATGCAAACAAATTGACAATCCAATTTCTTCTATTGGAATTTATTTCATTGCATGGAAGTCAACACTCCCATAAGAAGTCAAGAATAAACAAAAATAAATTTAAAAAAATGGTTATGTCATGTCGTAATGTCGCAATTATTAAGGGATTTAAAGTCTTACAAAACAGAAGACGTAGTTCTCATTGATCGAAATCAACTGACACAGCAACCAAACACACAGATTTTTTTATACAATTTAATTTCGGAAAAGTTGAAACCAAAGTGCACGCTATTCAGTACATACCATTCAACATTATCCGGAGAACAAAGTTATTGTCATATTGAATTTTTTATTCTATAGGATCAACAGATTGAATTCTACATCAAATTTTTTTTTCTCAGAATTTGCATTTATTTTTTAAGGCTTTAATATTAAAAAAAAGTTGGATCCATCGTTAAAATTACAAAGTTTCAACTTGACTAAAGTTTGAAATGAAAGTCCAGTGAAGTATTCAATTTCTTTTGTTTATTTCCTACAAGCAAAACATAAAATCAAAAACTTTTCGAAAAGTTGCTTGGCAAAAGTAAAGTACAATTTAGTAACAAAAAAAATGGAACTTGTTTAAACAAAGAAAACTATAAGACCATATAGAATAAAAACCGCCTGCACAAATATCGAATATATAAAATAGATTAAAAATCATTGAATTGAGCCCCCGTCAACATGAAACAAATGATCTAAAAAACCATCTTAAATCGATCTAAATAGCAGCTTGCTGCTAGAAGCAAATTGAAGTGAATCGATATTAAATACGCTGACATATTCGGTGTAAATAAATCAAATCTTGATAAATGAAGTAGTGACAATTGAAAACAACAAATAAAAAACTATGAATACATACACGTACAAAACAATTTATAATATGTGGGTTCGTTCTTTTTTTTGTTTTGGCTTCGAATGACACCATCGCGTTACATATCCAAAATTCATCTAAGACACAAATTCACTGAAACAATGTGTCGGTCGGCATTTATTATCGCGTTGTTACCAATGTAATTGTCAACTAAATTTTCTATCCAATAAAATGTTCTATTTGTGTACGTTTCACAAATGGGATTTTCAATAAATCCCGCGGCGGTTCAAACTTTTTATATGCAAATAATGGTTGTATGCACAGAATTATTGTAATATTTAAATTTCACTTAAATTGTTTGCGGTTTACTTAATTTACCGCATCGCTTTGAATTGCTCACTTTTGGAATTAAAAGTCTTTCACCTTTTTTTCAATTATTTTTATTGAGAAAAAATCAAATCCGATAACATGACAATTGCTTGTCTGAAACACTCGGTGAAATAAATGTATCTAGTCGTTTACAGTCGCTGTTATTTTTTTCCTTTCTTTCTTGTCGTCACAACAAATAAGGTGAGGTGAAAATACACTGAATGTGGTATTTATTGAATGGGAGCTACACTCGAACTGCTTGCGTTGTGCTTGGGTTCGATTTGTTTTTCTCTCATGTTCACAAGGGTAACACGCACAACACTGTTGAGTCATATTGCTATAGCTATATATGAATCCAAAATCGGACAGTTTTCTATACAATCGTTCAGTAGCTGTGCTTTTTTTCTCTCTATGGATACATGGAGACGAACTGTTGTACACAAAACATTTAACGTTGTATGAGTGTGTGACGAAGTATGTGCTTCCCTGCGCCTGTGTATGGTAAATATGTTGGTCTGTTTGTGTATGTCTACCAACTGGCATATTAAATACAATGTTTTTTTTGTGGGTACTGTGTATATAAATATTATGTATTTCAATTCGAGACTAAAGACATTTAGACATTCGATTGGACTGGCGAAAGGAGAAAAAAGTAAATAAAAATTCATATAGAGTCTCTCGTGTCCAGCATTACAATCCATTTAAAAATGCTATTTCTTCGTGCTTTCACATTCATTTGACAGAAAATGGGAAAATGCAAACTGCACGTAAGCTCTCATGATTATCCTTGGCCATGAGCGTATGGATGAAGAAAATTGCTTCAATTCGGTTGTTGATTTCAAATGATAATCTGCCATGTTATCTCTTATATGCATACAGAGTAGATAATCTTTATAAACATATTAAATAAACAAACACATTTCAAAATATACATTCAACTGAGGATGCACTCGCATAATGCACGTCATAGATACGTAAATATCTTATTTATATTGATTGTTAGAGAAGAAGCGCACTATCATATCGGCTGATGTAACTTATGAGTTGGAATGAAAGTAATGCAAATATTTAAATTCATTTGCCACAAGCAAAATGCTGGTGTCTATCGAATTTTGCATAGTTTTAGGAAATTCTGTGCTTACCAATGTCGAAGCTTCATTTTCTATATTTATAAATTAAAAATCAACCCCAAAGCAAGAAAAACACTGATTTTGAACTGGTTTCCAATGATGTTTTATATTGAGATGCATACCTACGGAGATTTACATAAATATAAAAGTTATTTCATGAATCGCATGAATATTCAAAAAACTCATAGAAACATTCGCCCAACAGAACTTATCTTTCAATTTATAAATGAGATTATGAGTTCCATTTTTGTACATACATAGGAATATTGTTGAGTTTTTTTAAACGCAGGCCTTAAAAGTATCCGAGAATTTTTTATATTTCCCAGAATTTATTCTTTCTCTCACAGTAAATAATTTTCTGCGTTTCAAAATAATGGTGCTCAATAATTATGAGTGGCAACACAGCATTTATAATCCAAGCGTAGCCAATTTAATCAAATAAATTTGTCTCATCGAGATGCGATGAGTGGGGCAGGAACCATGGCCTGTTCGATTTTTTTTTAGCGGATGGATGCTATAAATGCTTTATATACATCGAAACGCAAAGATGCAACTATAGTTGTATACAACACACAATATGTTTGTATCTATCGAGGTAGTCTTTGATATATCTCGTGCATGAAAATATTAGACAGTATTTATACAGAACGGCATTTCGCATAATTTTCAAACTCATTTGACAACATCAAAAACTTTTTCAGGAGATAAAAAAATGTCTTGCAATATCAATAGGAGCAATGGTAGATCAAGTTTCAACCTTAATAATTGCTTATGTATACGAAGTTTTCTAATTTAAAACAATTGAGGTAAAGGTCTTGGAAAATGATATTAAATCAAGCGGAGGATGATTTTCGGGTTTGTCGTGCGATTATGGTGACGTCCCACGGAAACAATATACACTCAATGGGGGATGGGGGAAGTGTATCTGTTTCAATACATAAAAAAGGAATTATTAGGTAATGTTATGTATCGCTATGTTTTCAAATACATTCGATTCTTCATTTAGTTTGTATAGTTTCCGTATGGCATCACCATCGTTGGAGGTCTTTTTTGCTTTTGTATAGAGATAGTCGCCCTACGAAATCGAGTCATTCATGATTGCCGCCGTATTGAACTTTATACTGACCTTAATTGATGCATACATTAAATTTCATTTTTTCTGTAAACATCCTAAGGATATTAGTCTCTTAATAAGTCAGATGCGAACACGGACAAAATAATTTTGCAAATAAAACTTTATGATTCTATTGGATTAAAAATCGATGTAATCCATTAGGTGACATTTGCAAAGAAATATGAAATCATGCCATCGATTTTATAGAGAATGGTCATGAGATTAAACTTTGGAAATAAATGCAAAGCATTCCAATAGAATTTCTATTGAATGTGTACAGATTTTGAAGAAATGATTTTGTTTTGTCGAACAAAATTAATTAAATAAAAGTCAATTTCAACCCCAAGTGAACAGACTCTATTAACTGCGTTGAAAAATTCAATTAGTTGAAAACGCATCTAATTTTATTTTCGTCCAAAAGTATTTTTCTCGTGCTTACCGATGATTTACATATTTCATCGCATGTATATATAAGAAAAATGTATTTATAAGTTTGTTTTCAGTCGGCGATATCTCATTTAAATGGAGAAAACTCACTCCCAATATGGCAAACAACAATTAAGAACTGTGGGCTTTGCTCATTTCATCAAAATTTTGATTGTGTCGTTCACATATTTGAACACCCACTTACAGCAGCAAATAAGAAACGGTTCTTGAAATCTTATAATCTAAACAACCGAAGGTTAAATGCTTTATATACATTACCAAAATTTGATGTGTGTCATATTCTTCTAAAAATCTGATTGAGTAATACAATTTTAAGTTTAAAAAATCGATCTCTGCATTTTTTCGCATGTTTTTTTTTTGTTCTATTACCATCGTTTCAAAAGCAGAAAACCATAATTTATCAATTTTAAAATTTTACTCCATTTTTTGTTAACAAGAAAAACTAATAATTACATTTTCAACCATTTAAACGCTGTTTTCTAGTATGAATGCATATCATTTTATCGTACAATAGCAGCGCGTGTATGTGTACAACAGCCGGAGTCATTAATTAAACGTGTAGAATGTACATAAGGAATGATTTTAATTTGTTGGTTATTATGTCGTTGCTATTGTTAGACCATGCATATCCATCCACAACAATCCAGTTGTGTATTTGTGGTTCGTGTGTATGTGCGGGGGGAGGTGAGTACTATATACTTATACCTATACATTTATATATCAAGGCACGCAATCATGCATTCAACCATGCGATATACAAAAAAAACATTTCGTTTTCCTTCGTCATATAGAGTAGCATGAGCGAAATGCATTTACAGTCACTCGTCGCACGAGCCTTTTTCTATTTGTTTGTTTGTTTGTGTGAAACATGGACATGAATATTATATCAAATTATGTTTACGTAAATTTTGTTACTTTCATTTTTCACCCTTTGGAAGAACGTGCACAGATCAAATAGACACCTGTTTTTTCGTCGATCGATATTATGTTGATTTGTTGTCATGCATTTCATTTCGTAATGTTTTTTAACCTGAAAAGAAAACACGTGCATTTATCGATCGATATCGGATTTTTTTTTCAACAACCCTCATTTTGATTTGACCACTGGCGTGTTTGAAGATTATTTTTTTTAGATTCATCAAAATATTCGACCAAAAATGTTGTCGGCGATTTTTTGTATACCAACTTTTCGTTTGGTATTACATTAACTGTGGTTGAATGATATTGTAAAAGAAACAGTTTCCGATTTTTTCAGCTCTCTCAGCCCATTGCACGTGACAATCTAACATCAATACTCATTTCTCACATTGAGTTTTTCGTCTACAAACGCAGAAAACTGAAGACTTAAACACAATCTGGTAGATGAACACAGCCAAATGTGGCATAAATTCATTTGAAAAGTACTACACCACTCATGTACAATACAGAATACCAGACATTATATTGAGATATTTTCAGCCAGATCATCTGGCTGAAATCACTAAAAGTGATTGTTATAGGGATTGTAGCAATGTAAGTGTAATTATAGCCATAACAATCATTTCTATTGTTTTCACTAAATTTCAGCTCCTGACGATATCTGGCTGAGCTGATTCATCTGGCTGAAAATATCTCAATATAATGTCTGCAGAATACATGAAATTAGTAACGTATATTCAATGGTCTATACCGGTACATGAAAACTATAGCCACCATAAAGTGCTATCCTTCGAATTATAAAAATTATGGCATTATATTATTACTTTAGGAACAAATACTTTATAAAAGAAGCAATAAGAAAAAATTGAAATACAAATTATTTGTTATCATAATTTTATTATCTAGAAGTACCAACCGTGTATGTGAGTGTTAATTTTTCACCGCATTTGTGGTTCTGAAATCGACATAATCACATTTATTGATTCACGTTAAATTCCCTTTCAAATAACCGATCAGTGGAGTAGGCACACTTTTGCTTGGAACAAATTCCAATTCACTATGGTTAATTTTCTCTGTAGCAATGTAATGTGTTCATGTGAAATGTACGGCTTGATTTTCGTAAATAAGATAATTCTTTCAAATGAAATTTAGTGATTTCAGTTTGAGAGAGTTACCCCGAAAATGTTCCACGTTAAAATTTCATTGCAATATTTGTTCGAAAAGATAAAGGCATTATCTATGAGGTTCAATTCACTTGATGCAATTTCGATCGCCAATTGAATCGAGCACAGTTTTCTTTCTTTCGATTCCGATATGGAACACAACAAATAAAAACATCGCTACTAGCTAAAGCCATATGTAGCCATGTTCTACTCTATGTACCTTTGATCGTCAATTTATGTTCCATGCAGAGAGAATGTGCAATGCCAGCGTATGCTTGGAAGAGCATCATCGAACTACAGTTTTCAAGCAGTAACAGCAAAATGAACGAAAAAAAAAGTTTGCTCAGAATCATGAATCAGTTAGAGATTCGGTGAGCCGTGCAGTTTTAGATGAGAGAGAGAGAGAGAGAGAATACTCGACAGAGACGTTTTGCAGAGGATCGGAAGAAAAGAAGAAAAAAAAAATCGCATACAGAACGATATTAAGAGAAAAAAAAGTACCAACATATATACTGAATCGTGCGACGTTCAGTGATAGCTTTTTTTTGCTGTACGAGCAAAATGGCTCGAGAGATAGAGATGAAATGACTAACAAACAGAAAAGTTAACACTAGCACGTTAGTTATTTTGATTCTTTACTTTATGGCGAGGGAGTGTTTGCGACCTTCAATTTTGAATTATAATCATAGCTTCAAGAGGCTATCAGGAGAATTTTCTGTCATGGATACATTTCGACTTATCATTATTGCTGCTGAATTAACTTTCGGCACGAAAACCAAGCCCCCAAATAACTTGGTTCGCGCCATAGCTCCGTCAAGTGTTAACCAAATTAATGTTAAATGAAATAGAAGAAGCATGGAGAAAGAAATAAAGAAACTTAGAAAACAAAATTACCGAACGAAATGCGCTGAAAAAGCAGCACACACAAACCAACAACAAGAACGAGAAGAAGAAATGATGATATTATTGTGAATATAAGACACACAGCATAGCGGCTAGAGGTAAAACTGATATTTCAGTACGTTCACATACTTCAACGGAGTAGAATGTGGTGTACGCATAGCTCGTGTGCTATGCGCTCTTCAACTTTACCATCCGAATCACTTTGAATCAAAACAAACGACTGCACACATTTAAAATCAAAACAAATCACTTAAAACGATCAGTCTATAAATCAGTTTGTGTATGTGTGTATTTTTTTGTGTCTATTAAATCATTTAGTTTCATTGACTAACCGAAAAGAAGCAATTTGGTACATTTATCACAACAATTGGTGTAAATAAAACACAGATTTTGTTTCAATAATTCTCGAACAATTAGCATTTGAATGGAAATTTGACTGAAAACGATGTGATTGTGATATATCCGTGCGATCGATTGTGGGTGACAAATCAATCAAGTGAAATTGTTTCTTCATATTGTTGTGCCATAGGCTTGGAAATGTTTGCTTAGCATTTTTGTAAATAATCACTTGGATCTTATGTTGGTTATCTCAACCGAGATAAAATAGTTATCAAGACATCAAATAACTATCTCCTGATCTTTATTGAAAGTGTTTGCAATACTGCCTGACATAAAGCACATTTAATCTAAATTTCATATTTTCACCGTAATCATTTTGTAATTTACAACCAAATGATAAATAGTCGGTTACATTTTTCGATGCCAGTGGGCGTCATCATCAGTTGATACAAGCGCTGACATTTCAATAGAATTTCAAAAGAACGAACATTCGCCGTAGCATCTTTCAATCTATTTTTTATACGTTACTTGTATGAATATACAAAAAATCGAGTGTATGCCACTTTCTCATTACAACATTGATCGCACCCCCTGGCCAAATTTCTGGTTTGTTTTTCGTCGATCTTATCTTTTAATCTGAGTGTTCTAGTTGCTGATCGAAAAGTATATTTATCTTATGTGCACCGCCACGAGTGCCATGACATTGAATTCATAATAAAATCCGATTTTCACACAAACGTGAAAATTTGAATGGCAACGAAGAATAGCACCAATTGTCTCTTACTGCATCAGTTCTATTGATGTTTGCCCTCTGTATTGTCAGCAAATTGATGTGAAATGTATGCGAATGAGTGAGTTAGTGTATTGCATGCAAATAAACATGTGAATTGAGCGACGTGAAATTTTACATACAAAAAAAGCACTTTTTTTAGAAAGTGTTACTCAGCATATAATCTCTTTGTTCGAAAAGATGACAAAAAAAATATAATTACAAACAATAGCGACTAAGGGAACTAAACGCCGTTGATTGCAATAATTGAACACAGTTTAGTTTCTCAACTTGAAAAGACCGCCTGCACCATACTATACAAATCAACGACGATCAATGGCACGGTTTTTTTCCTCTTACATCTAACGAATTCCTATTTCGTTGAAATTGATTTATGTTTTCATTCGCACGACACTCAATTAGAAGATGGGCCGTTGTTCAAAATTTTATCGTTCTTTGAGCCTGTTTCGTTTGATGTACGATCATTTGTACGAAACAAGTCAATGCGAATAAACTCCCTCTTTAAAAAAAAACGATCGCACAGCATAACGATTAGATTGCATGTACCGACAAATCAGTGACAAACGACAGCAGACATCACAAATGATGCGATTTTTAACTATTTCACTCTCATTTAGGATTTTTACAACAGCGCTAACGAATTGTGTGAAATTTAATATTTGTGTTTGAAAATGCAATTGTTCCAACTTTATTGGATTTAATGTATTTTAAATGCGATCTAATGTGAAATTGTTTACTTTTATTTTTGGTGGACAAACAACACAATTAATCTAATAATGAGAAATTGAATATATTTAATGAAAAAAAAAAACGATTTTTTGTTCTATAGAAAACGATCACAGTGTAGTTACATTGAAAGCCAATTCGGTCTTAAGTTGACCGACAGTATTTATTAGTGTAAGATTGTTTATAGTGAATGTGTTTTTCAGTTTTTGTTGCAAACGGTGACACAAAATCCACACCATGCCTTCCGGATATCGATCTAATGGAATAATTCATCCGCCAAATGGGCACATCAGTAAGTGATCTCTCACCATTCACTTTAAAGTATTATAATGGCAAACTTATCGGTTGCACATTTTGTATTATTATGTGGAGATTTTTTTTTTTCAACGCATGACGAGAAAAAAAAGTGAAATTTCTTACCATTCGATATTAAAAATGAGTACAGCCATAGTTGAAGAAAAAAAATGTTCTGTATGGCGTATGTGTATATTGTTTGTTTCCAACTGAATTCATCATGCCATTCAATACGGTTTGAAAAGATATATTCGAAGTTTTAACTCTTGTTGACTTTAAGAATTGGAATATCAATACAAGAAATTACGTTTTCGATAAAAAAAAAATGTTCGATTTAAGAAAAAAACACCAAGAACAAGAATTTAAAAAATGTGGTGATTACATTAAAAAAAGAGAAATGTAAACAAAACAAATGAAAAATATTTGAAGAACTCTGTGGTACATTTCGGAAAAGCGATCATCATTAAGCTAATCATGTGATTTTTGTTTGCGCGTTTAATCAAAATAATACAATGTGAAATGCACTTATACGTATAATAAGCAATTGAAATGCCAGCTAAAGATGCAAGTGAAACCGGTTTTGACGGTGTGTCTATGGTACCGCAAATACAAACTTTTCACAAATCAAGTTCCAAAATAAATGCACACACACACACACACTCGGCCGGCTTAAGCAAATAATATGAAGTAAAAAACATCATCAACAACAACAACAACCACATCAAAATCATAAAATAATCTCATTTTGTCTAGAAATGCTGCAGTTTCGCTCTCTGCGCTATCCACACATTGGTTTGATGTGCTCCACTGCTTTTTTCACTCTTCACAAACGATCAGCAAGTATGAAGCATTAATTTCGCATTTATTGCTAATGAACGATCCGCACAAATAATAATAAACATTGGACGAACGAGTGCGCGCGCATATTTCAAACAGCAACAACAACAAAATATATATAAATAAATAAAAAAAAATTGTATGGCAAAAGCACATTGCCCGGGTATCGCCCCATAAGACTTTGTTGCATGATTGAAGCATTCATCATCATTCAATCGATCAATTCATGGATTGAATGATGGCCCAGCGCTGCAATTGATATTATTTTGAATGACTCAAACACGATCCATACCTCTTCATTGCCATAGAACAACGGCGTTTCAAACTCATCCTAGAATTCTTTTTCGCAAATAAAACGGAATGTACAATTGAGAGGTACACATCATTTTACTTTAAACACTAATACATCCGTTCATCAACGTATTTGAGGAAATCAACAAACAACAACAACAACAAAAAATCCATCAAGACTTTTCAGATAAATTGAATCGAAATCACGACTTTGAATAACTCTGAAAAACCAATCGATTGCATTATTGTTTGGCTGATTTAAACGCCAGATCGACGAGTGCGTGTATATGTGTATCTAAGTTGAAATCTTTTGCCATTGACCGCTCACAGTGCCAATTAACTGTTCGAATATCAACATTTTGGGTGCGATTTTCACTTTTGGTTTGTCTCATAAACACCGTTGGCCTGAATTAACTTAATTAAATGGACGACGACTCTTTTTCGATAGAAACTAATAAAAACGATATCTTAATTGATTTATGCACAAAGAATCGACTGCGTTGGACGAACCACATAAAATTCAATCCAATTTAATTGAATTTAACTGCGTTTAGTTATTCCCACAATTTTTATACTAATCATGTCAATTAATAGAGAAAATACGGCGTTGATCTATTCGTTGTGATGATACTATTTATTTATTTAGTGCGTAAATGCGCTATTCTCTCTCTCTCTCTCGCTCTCTTCCAACTCTCAATTTTCTGTTTGTTTATATAGAAGCAATAGGATTGACTTAATAAGCTTTGAGTATTGCCACCTCAATGCGAATAATATCTATAATTTTATTGTTTTTTCTCGCGGTCGCGCGCATAATCTGCGTGTCATTTATCCAAAAGTGAAATAGCATTCCACATGACATGTCTTTGGAACGGTTGAAATGATGAAAACAACGAGCATGTGTGTGTGTTTGTGAGCGAACAAACTCGTGCTCACACAACACACAGGAAGTTGATTAGCATTCAAGAATCCCAAATTACGTGCACAAAGTTAAATGAAATTATATGATATTCTTTTTTTTTCTTCATCTACTACCAATTTATTAACAAGTCTACGGGTGTTTCATTCCTCTTCTTTTTCTTTTTCTATTTCTTTTCTCTTTTGTTTCAAACTCATACGAATAATCCCACGAATAAAGTTGGCAATCGCTCTGCCAGATTGCTGTCTCAAACCATTGGAAGAGTACTATTTGGAACGAATGCGCAAGCCTCTAGCCATACAATAAAATAGATATTTTTATGGAATTATCGTGGATGATATCACGCATTTAAATGGGCCAGAGAACGACGACGAAAAAAAAACACACATACACACACACGACTGAAGAAAAAAAAACAACGAAAATCAACACACAAAAGACAAAATCAAAAGTTGAATTACGATGGAAACGACGCACCAAGAGTACAAACATAATATAAAGTGAAACGATGACAAAAGACAATGTGCTCTTAAATGAAAATAGCACCTAATCAAAAGCGAAACGAAACAAACATGAAACCAACCACCGAAATCGGTATCACAAACACAAGCTGAAAACAATAGAGCATTGAATGCAACTGCACTCCCAAATAGACAATTAACGAATTCCAATGACGATTTTTTTTTTCGATCGGTCTCTCTCGTCTATTCGGCATTTCTTTAGTCTGTTTATTCGGAGTCGTCATTTCGTGATATAGCCTATTTGTTTTTGTCATAAATAATGGCATTTGAGTTTCGAAACAGTAGATTATCTTGCTCTAATATTAAACGTTCAACACGTGCGCCAATAATAACTGTTAATTTTTGGTATCATCAAATGACGTTATTTTTGATGTTGGATGATGTGTTTTATTGTCTGAAATGAAAAGTCAATATAAAATATATATATGAAGAGAAAACAATCGTATGAAGAAGATGGTGATTGTTTTTGCTTTTTAGCACTTAGAACCGTATTGCTCTTAGAATTTCACGGTATGGTCGGCACGGTATCGATGGTAATTTGCTGCCCTTTTGCACGTATCGTTTACTCCAGTTCGATAGCAGTTTATCGTGTGGTGCGTCTACCGCATAGCATTATTTATGAATTACCATATTTTAAAAATCATATATTATATATGCATATGATCCATTGGCGGTTGTTGAATATTGTTTTGTTACGGATTGCCACCGAAATATAATTACCATATTCTAACGTGCAATTTAATGAGCAGAGTAATGCCTTGGCAAAATATTCACCTGCGCAATGCTCAACTGTTGAAATCAAACGAACCGAAGTCGGTTAGATGCGCGTGAATTAAATGAAAAAAGAAGAAATAAAAAAACCATTCGAAACATCAACGAAAAAAAGGAGGAAGAAGAAGATATGCGAGGTTCCGTTAAAAGATGAACAAAGTTAGCAGAAGAGAATGAAGATCGCATTTTAAATGAGATTTCAATGGCAATTGATTGAATTCCAATTTTTATTCCGTTTCAACTGCAAACTGAATGGTCACAAAACAAGCAAACATCAATTGAAACAAATGTTGTCTGTTTATTACGCAAGATTCGTGCATGTAATTTCTTTTTTTCTCTACACACTTGCGCGTACACATAAGGCAAGATCGCGGTTAGATAATGCACGTCCAAATAAAAACAAAGTCTTTTATGTACAAAATACTCGTTCATCCTGTTATCTTTACCGGGTGCCGCATTCTTATCGGCAGTAAAAATATGTTTATAGTTTTCCATATTACACACGCACACACACACACACACGGGCAATAACAGAACATAAATGTCATTTCGTTATAATAATTCTCATTTGATACAAGAGGCCAAATCTGACACTGCTTTACAGCATCAGCTGAACATTCTGTGGTGGCATTTCGCTATTGATGACGTTATCTCTTGCTCTTGCTGAAAAAAATCACAAAATTAATTACAATGAACTATGTAATGTGATTATTCGACTAGTCGCCGTTTTTATTCCAATCCCGTTTATGAGTACACGTGATTGAAAAACACACACGCACACACACCGAAGAAATCGACAATAAATTGTGCGAATTTTACAAACTTTTCTTTCAACTGGTTTGCAGTCATCAAATTATCATCACCGTCGATCGATCGTGAGTTGTACGCAATTCTGTGACGGTCGATTGCTGTGCGCATGTTAATCACATAGTATAAACGAGTGTACAGTGTGTGTGTGTTTCTCTTTGCTTCTTGTTTAAATGTTTTGTGATCATCTGTTACGGTATAAACAGCACAAAAAATAACAATCAAATAAATAGAATTATATTACCACAAGAATCTGATGATGAAGTTCGCTAGCGCGAGAGCGCATGCTCATACATAATAAATACGTATTTGCGCACAAAGGCAACAGGCCAACAACCATACGAGCCAACAGCTCATGAGTCTCATACAACGAGAACCGAAGTAATATTTTTTTTTAATTACTCACCTACACTCAACAACACATGCGCACCGTATACGTTCGAAGCGAGCACCTAAATCACCGGCTTATTTACACACACACATAATAAAACAGTGCTTACCTAATAGAAGTGAGATAGAGAAGATAACATATATGCAAACGACACTACGATATTATTTAGATTCTGACTGCAACAATTTTGATTGCCATATATTCACGCTCAATTTAAACGAACGAGTGTTTGTTTTTTGTTTGGTTCGTTTGGTCATTTGCCGATTCAAGTTTATTGTTGTAAAAAATGATGTGTTATTGCTGCTGACGTGACTGGCGTTATCGAACCGAAAAAGACCGCGAATTGGAGAGCATCAAGTGTGCAAGATGCACATGGATGAAATTACCATTTTTGCGCGTTATGTTTTTATATTTGTATGTTGCATTTTAATACCGGGTGCTCTTCCTATGTAATGCGCTTCTCT